GCGAAAAGGAAACCGTTTTATCTCTTTTAACTTCTCAATAGGTCATTCACAAATGTTGTCCACACTGCTATCACAATTTGTCACCCATTTTTTTTTTAAATAAATTTTAATTTTTCTCTCAACTTTTTTTTTACGCAAATTATAGGTACAGAATCTGCAGATTTTTAGCGATCCTAGTCTAGTGAAATGTCTGATGATTCAAAACAATGAGATTTTCAACAGATTCTCAGAATGATTATATATTTATACTTGGGACATTGTAAAATGTAAAGGTAATAGTAACGAAATAATGATTTGAAAAACCTGTAACTGAAAAGACTATAATAATAATAACAATAACAATAGTAATAATAATAACAATCAGATGAAACGAGAGCAAACCTAACATAATCTAGAAGATATTTCAAGATAACAGCAAACTGGTTTGAGATAAAATTTTTCCTTTACAAAAGGCGAACACTGAACAAGACTATATTGACAAGGGAAAAAAATTTACAGATAATCGTCTTGACGTGGATGATCATTGTTCACCATGTTGATCAGGAGTAAAGTATATATAAGATGGATGTATGAAGGCGATATTATATTGTATATATATATATGAAGGTGAGAAGCAATCAGAATGCTTTCCTAAAGGTTATATACTACCGCGGCATCATCGCTACGTCAAACTACCAGCAAGATTAGTCCCCTTTGGCGAACACGAGGTGTGTTTTACACCGACTGTGCTCTCTCACCCGCAGCAGCTAGTTCATGATGTAGTAACTATGTTGCATTGGTAGGCTTGCTATATTAAATGATCCAGTCTACAGAATACACTAGGGAACACTATATATATATATATATATATATATATATATATCCCGCTTTGCCCGCATATGAGCGAAGCTTCTTGATATCTGTGGGAGCGCCTTTCACCTAATTGTTCCTACATGCGAATATCCGAGAACAACATTTCCCATCGACTTCTGGTCATTTCTCAAAAAAAAAAAAAAAAAAAAGAAATTCGCTACTGATTTTATCTGTTATATCATATTCCTTTACTGATTAATTAGATTAATAAAATAATCCGCTAAACATCAACAAATGTCAATGATATGTCTATTTACTCTTTCTTCAGTCCACTGAAGAAATAAGGATTTATGTTATGCTATACATTTATAATTGTCAACGATAGCTCTACCTATCATTTCTTCAGTGCACTAAAGAAATAAGGATTTATGCTATACATTATTAGATTAATAAAATAATCCACTATACTTCTGTAATTGTAAATTATAAGCTAATCTACTCTTTCTTCACTGCATCGTAGAAATAAGGATTTATGCTATATATTCATAATTTTTAACAATATACCTACCTACCCTTTCTTCAGTGCTATGAAGAAACAAGGGTTTGGTTTTTCTTAATCAAACTTTTGTTGACACAACCAAACTATTATTTCTTCAATACACTGAAGAAAGGGTAGATAGGTATATTGTTAAAAATTATGAATGTATAGCATAAATCCTTATTTCTTCAGTGCACTGAAGGAACTGTTTCGTTTTGACAACAAAACGTTTAATATTTCTCAATAAAACTTTTGTTGACATAACCAAACCCTTATTTCTTCAGTGCACTGAAGGTAGGGTATTGAAAGAAATGCATATTGATGACAATTAGCTTAAATCCTTATTTCTTCAGTGCACTGAAGAAAGGGTTGGTATATTGTTTAAAATTATGAATGTATAGCATAAATCCTTATTTCTTCAGTGCTCTAAAGAAAGGGTATACACAATATTTAGTTGGTATTTAAACAAAAAAATGTTTTTGTTAACTCATTAAAATATTTCTAAATAAAATATCTATGGAAAATAACCCAATTTTCAAAGAAGAAATGTAAATGAAAATTTTATTTTTCGCTATATGTGTACAGTTATAGTTTCAATATATCCGCTTCATTTATAATTTAAACACATTTCGACCCCAATTAGAAGTGCCTTGAACTTTGTGGGAGTCACATATATATATATATATATATATATAAACACGAGAGCTATTCATTAGATAACTTTATAATGCACGTTTATAATTAAGGGATATAATTTACGAATGCATTGCTAAAAAAATCATATGCGCGATAAATAAATATATATGTACTTGTATGGCAATATTGCGTAAAACTTCATTTATTATGCAAATTAATATGAACACAATTTCACTCAACTTTCAGCTCCAATTACATTATATGAAGAAACTGGTTCTTATTGCAAAGTTGGAATCGTGTTTTTTTTTTAATAATTATTTTTTCTTCATTATCCTCAAATTTTTGTAAATCACGACGAGAATTGGAAATTTGATATAAAATATAATAAAATATAATAAGACCGAACAATATTACACAATTTTTTTGAAGTAACGTATGAATAAAAATCTTATTTTTTTTAAATTACGTTTAAAAAAAAATAGAAATTCGATTTAATTTTTTTCAATAATTTGAACAAATTTTTTTTTTATGGCAAATTTGTTCCGCATTGTAAATATCAGATCTATTTTGTTCTTCCGCAAAGTGAAAGTGCGCGCACGGCCCATGGCATTGAAGCTATTAGTAGCGATCGCTAAACAATTTTTTATTCACCTTTCACCCTTCAAAATGATCGCACCCAACATTCGCGCGCGCGCGCACATGTTTGTAAACTATTTATATATATATAAGAAGTTCACTTCCCGCCCGCGGAGGTGAGAGTCCATGGGAAGCTTCTGCCCGCTACCTTAACTCTCACATATTTATTTCTAACTTGATATTTTCTAACAATTTTTTTCTGTCTCTTTTATAAATCAATTCAACGATTGTGTTATATTTGTGTAAATTACATATATGATAAGTAAAATGAAATTAAGTAATTGAAAATTCAAATTAAACATAAACTATATTGTACAATGAAAGAAAAAAAATTTATTTGATTCAAATATAATGTTTACTATATTATATCAAATAAATATTTATTTGTATCAATTTAATATTTATTTGTATCAAATATAATTATTATTTGAATCAATGAAATGGTAATTGTTTCAAATACAGAAATTATTGGTTCAAATACAGTTTATTTAATTCGAATAAAAATTTATTTGGTTCAAGGAAAGATTTATGTGATAGTCAAATAATCGATTATTTTGAATCAAATAAATTTTTATTTTTCAATGTAGATTTATAATTTAGGACAAATGCAGATTTAATTTAGGTTTAAAGTAGGTTGTTTTTCTTTTCAGTTTTACATTGCCCAAGGGCAAAAAAAATTTCCTAATCCGCCAAAGTGTTATTATATGTTTAAACAAATCGAGAAATCGAATCCTTAAGATTATATATATGGAATATTCCCCTCACAGTGGCATTTTCCTCACGATTTTTGCCCCAGGAGGTGAGAGTGGCTCCCAGTTGGAGGTTGTATATATATATAAAAGTGAATACAAAATCGAATAGTATATATAGGATTCGTCTAAAATATTGCATCTCGTTTGTTCAATTTTTTTTCTTTTTTAAAAAAAAATTTATTTTTATTAATTTTTTTTCATATAAAAAGAAATTTTGAAATTAGTTTAAAAAAAATGTATTTATATTTTTTATATCACAATTGTTACCTAATAATAATTTTTTAATATTTTTTAAAGGAAAATAAAAAATTATTTGATTCAAATAATCGCATACTTGACTATCAAATAAATATTTCCTTCAACCAAATAAATGTTTATTTGTTTTAATTAAATTTTTGAGTAAATTAAATTTGTTTCAAATATATATAGAAATTATTGGTTCAAATATCAGTTTATTTAGTTTCAATGTATTTGGTTCAAGTAAATATTTATTTGTTAAGTAACTGCAATTATTTGAATCAAATAAATTTTTTTTTTTTTTTTCAATGTAATAGTAATAATAAGACCTCGGTGGCTGAAAATTATGCTAGAGGTTGAAAAGCTTCTGTATAGATATCACGGCACGAGTTTCGTCGCTGCTCGTCGACAGACGGTAATTACGGATAAAGATAATTAAGTCACTGGTGGCCACACAGGTACGTCTCACTGTTGTGACAGGATGATATTTGAAAGCCAGCCTCTTGACTTTCAACTCGAGAGATAGAACTCGTTTTCTACGACGGGGGGTCTTTCTTTCATTTATATATATATATACATTAAATACTTATTTATAAAATAAATTATAAAATTTAAGATTTAGAAAAACGTTTACAAAAATTAATTAAATATAGAAATAATAATGATTTATAACGTTAAAATTTAAAAAAAAAAAAAAATTTTAACAACAAATACAAAATTTTTTTGAGAAAAAAAAAAAAATATATATCGTATGCAATGAGCGAACGGTAAAAGAATAATAATATACATATAAGTATAGCGTACCTACACTTGAAGTGAAATAAATGGAAAACAAGTTTTTCGGTCATAATCATGAAAAAGGTAGCTGTGCGTGGCTATTTGCATAAACGTGTTAGTAATCAAAAGCAATATAAAATTTTTCGATCACAAGTATTAATAATTTGCATGTGACACTGATCCCGGTGTGACTCGTCGAACAAGCTGTACCGTTTTTGCGCGTCAAATTTTTTTTTTTTTTTTTTTTTTTTTACATAAATATATACATGCACATTAAGATATATTTTATGTAAAATATAAAATTTACCAGTTTTTGTTATAAAAGTTTCTATATATATAATATATATATAACCTACCTTTTCAGCAGCTTTCTTCTTTTCCTCATTCCTCAACTAGTTGGCAAGTAGCCAAAATAATTGCAAAAATTTACCATTCAAGTTGCAACGTATCTGAAAATTTTTTTGTTTTTTTTTTTTTTATTAATTAACATATATTTTAATTTTATTTTGAAATATATTTGTTATTTTATATTGTGACCCCTCGCAAAAAAAGGGACCTTAGAAGCAAAAAATTAATTCTGTAAAATAAAGATATTATTAAGTGAAAATGAGGGTTGGAAAAAAAGAATGATATTTTGTTCGACTTGGAAAATTTATTGACAGGATCGATGAATACGATCGTAAATACACATAATTATATAATGACTGACCAAAAACGCACGCGGACATTTGTCATTTTCTTTTTGAAAGATTAACAAAATATCATCATACTACACGTGCACTCAATTCTCAATTATTATTCATTCATATATACACTAAAAAAAATTTATTTGAATTCAAATAATCGATTACTTGATTGAAATAAATATTTACTTGCAAAAAAAAATTTTTTTTTTGAAATCAAATAATTGAATCTGATAGTTATGAATAATTTCTCTAATTTAAACAAAAATTTAATTTACCCAATTTTAATTGACTTAAAAATTATTTGATTCGAGAAAATATTTATTTATGTAAAATAATGGATTATTTGAATCAAATAAATTTCACTGTATATATGAAAATCGACATACAATTTTTTTTTTATAATCAAATAAAATTATTATCACTCCATTATAGTACTAGGTACTGTGAAAGGATAAATCAACTCGTATGACTGAGTTAAGACTCCCTAAATATATAATATATATGTATATTATATATATTGAGTGCTAAAAAAAATGACTAATTCCTATTATTTTATAAAATAATAATAATTATAATAAAAATAATATATAATAATATATAATATATATTCGTAGTGCTCGTAATATTTATAATATAATAATTATTATAATTATCAATATAATAATATTAAAAACACATATTGTAATACATTATTAAGCTATGTACAAAGCGCGCGACTGCAGTCTCATTGTTTTGGAAGTTATTATTTTTTTTTAAATATTTCTTTTTTAAAAAAAAGAAAGAAAGCGACTTTTCAAATAATATAAACAATTTTCTTTTCTTTTCTTAATTATTTATGACGAGGGGAAAAGAAAAATTTGATATTCACATTTTTTTTTTTTTTTTTTTTTTTGCTATCAAATAATGCAGATATCCAAAAAAAAAGCGCGTTACGAACAAAATAAGCGAACTGATAAGCTTCTATCTCGATATATTCGAGGCGCCATAGCTGCTTTTTCATTTTTTTTATATATATATATAAATTAAATACATTTTCCCGCCAAATTGAAAATTTTCATTTTTCAAAAATATGCATTTCTATTATTTTTCAAGAGACAATTTTTTTTTCTATTAAAAACATTTATTCGAATTGAAAAGAGCAAAATTTTTGAATCGACGAAAAATTTAAATTTGGCACACTTTTTTTGTATACATAAATATTTTGGTTAAAAAAAAAAAAAGGAAGGAAACAAAACTCGAAAATTATCAAATCGCCGAGAATGGAAAAATAAATAATCTCTAATTTATGGTCATTTACTTTGTAAAAATCTGAAAATATTGATGCAATATCAAAAATTATCATCACTGGAATTTTTGTTTTATAAACTAAAATAATTTTCTTTTTTCAAAATATTGAGAAATTCAAAAATTCAAATATCACCGGGCAAAGAATATTCTCAATATATTATAAAGGATTTTTCTTGTAAAAATCACAGAAAAAAAAATTCTGAACTCATTAATTTTTTTTTGTAGTTCAAAATGAATGAATTCTAAAATAGAACGTGGCGACACCTACGAGGCACAATTTTTCATGCGTTTAAAAAATTAATTAATCATTTTTGAGCTCAGGTTTTTTTTTTCTATGCAAACCAAATAAAAACTGGCGACAAAATCTGTGCGCAGATTATTTTACTCGGGTATTTAGAAGAAAAAAATTTGATTATTGATAATTAATCGATATTGCATTATATACGTACAAATTGTCAATATTTTACATTCACTTTTATGAAGGACAAAAAAATAAAATTATACCTAATCGAGTACTAAGGGTTAAAAAAAACCGGTTCTGCATTTCGATTCTTGTTCACTTTCTCCGTGACAGTGGGAGGGCCGTTAATTTAAAAAAAAAAAAAAAATTTATCCAGATATTAGAGTTTTCGAAGAGGTCAGAGAGAACCGGGTGGATTGATGAAATAATCGGTTATTTAAAAAAAAAAAAAATAAAAAATAAATAATGTCACAAAAGTATGTGTGTGTGGACCCACCGCGAACATGATCGGACGTGGTCATTTCTTGGTGCTTTATAAATGCAATTAATTATTTGTGCCATTCCGCTTGATCGAGCTCGATGTCTACGCCGATCCTAGTGCTCGTCAAATTATTGAGAGCGGTCGAAATTGAAGTGACATTCATGCTTCGCATATGTTTATCCACTGAGAAGCCAAAGAGACATATATGCCAAAGTGCGTTTTATATGCGAACGATGTATTTGTTTCGACTTTCTCGTTTTCCTTCACAAGGTTAATAAAAAAAATGATTTTTCAAAAAAAGAAAAAAAATAATTCTTTTTTATTTTCCGTTTGTGGCTTCCGTTATAGATTATGTGGTTTAAGAAAGAGAACATGTCGCCTGAGGATTGGGCGTGGTCCACGGTAGCTTAACATCACTAAACTTTGGTAGCATCTTCACCATCTCTTTCCTTTTTTTTCTCTCTCTCTCTCTCTCTCTCTCGACCATTATTATGTAGTCCAATTTTGGACGCATGAGCCTCGAGGTAAATACGTCCTTAATATTTGCTTGTTTCTCCAATGGATATGAGACTTGGAGAAAGAATAGTCTTTTGACTATAATTCAAAAGATTACTTCGCTGTTTCTTTTAAGGATGTATTTTATTGAAATTGCATCTTTTGTTTGCGAAATGATGATTGTTTTTTAGATTTCTTAATTATTTTACGAATGTAGTATATATAAACTAAATAGTATACTAGTTTGCTAAATTGTATACTAGTTTGCCAAATAGTATACTAAATAGAATACTAAATAATAGGTGTACTAAATAGGTTACAAAATTATTAGCTGATGTTATTGGGAGTACTGGATTTTAATTTTTAGGAATGTTCCTGTTCAACGTTCTGTTTACTTTTCTTCATCGTCTTTGCTTCACGTAGGTTCTGAACAATTTTCTAGAAAAAGTAACCCTTTATCATTAGGTTTACAAAATTCCTACAGATGATGATTTTAACGTACGGATTGTGTCTTAAGTTTTAGGAGACTTCTTCTAATGTGTTGTATGTATTTCTTTTTCTTGAACAAACTCTCTACTGCCTTTCTTCTTCTTCTTCTTAATCTCTTTCTCCTTCCTTTCTTCAAGAAAAGGCAGTTCTTCATCAACATGTTTTCAAATCATTTGATGATTTTAACGTATATCAATTGCATCTTATATTTTAGGAGACTTCTTCTAATCTTGTATTACATTTCTTTATCTTGAACAAACTTTTTACTGTCCTTTTCTTTTTCTTCTTCTTTGTCTCTATCTCCTTCCTTTCTACAAGAAAAAGCAGTTCTTCATCAATAGATTTTCAAATCATTAAATGATAACAATTTTTCGGTACGAAATGAATCTTAAGTTTTAGAAGACTTCTTCTAATCTTTTGTTATATTTCTTCACTAGTCCAACGTTCTGTTACCTTTTCTTCTTCTTTTTCTTCTTCTTCTTCTTCTTTGTTTCACGTAGGTTCTGAACAATTTTCTAGAAAAGTAACCCTTTATCATTAGGTCTACAAAATTCCTACAGATGATGGATTTTAACGTACGGATTAAGTTTTAGGAGACTTCTTCTAATCATGTGCTGTATATATTTCCTTTTCTTGAACAAACTTTCTACTGTATTTTGTTTCTTCTTTTTGTCTCCTTTCTTTAAAAAACGTTCCTCATCATTAGATTTTCAAATCCTTAGATGATAATTTTAACGTACGAATTGAATATATCTTTTAGGAGACTTCTTCGAATCTTTTGTTTTGTATAACCTTTTCTTCAACAAACTCTTTACTGCCTTTTTGTCTCTTTTTTCTTCTTCCTTTTTTTTCAGTTCCTCATCAACAGCTTTTCAAAACAGATAATAATTTTACCCTATTAATTCCACTAATTACACTAAACAGAAAAAAAAACCTGAACCCAAAATGAGTTGAATTTTAAACAATTAATAATCTACAACCGGTTCTCTCTTTTTTCCTCATCAATTTCGCAAGCTTTGTGGCATAAAAATTTTTTTTTTGGCAAATAAATTATAATTAAAAAAAAAAAAAAAATTACAAATACAAGAAATACAATTGCACATAAATAATATTTATACAAAATTCAAAGCATTTTTCTTTTTCTTTAATTTTCTTACATCCTCCAATTGGATTGCTCGTAACAGATGATGAATGCAGACTTTTTGGATATACTGCAAGACTTCCTTGGAGCGTTGTACCTCGTTGCATCGATTTCCGGGAGGGTCGGCATTATAGATTTCAAAAAAAAAAAAAAAAAAAAAAAAAAATTATACGAAGCGGAGGATAGGTTTTCAAGGAATATGGAATCAAAATGACTTTTTTGATGAATAGAGATAATTCTAACACATAAAGGATGTCACAAAAATCAGGATAATTTAAAGAAGATTCAAAATTAATGAATCGGATGGAGATATAATTTATCGGAAATAATGATTCAAGATGAAAGGAAATGAATTATTCAAGAATGATTCAAGAATGATTCAAGGATGATTCAAGGATGAAAAAAAGGAAATGAAAGACTGCCGGACTAGTGAGAGCGCTGGAAGGATCATTTATAGATTATTCCAATGGAGTTGTTGTGCGTCTGACTAAAAAAAGGATTTTTCTTTTATTTTTTTTTTTTTTTATAGGAAAAAGGGAAATTCGAAGGGGAAGGAATTGGAAAATTAAAAATCTACATATTTAAAAAAAAAAAAAACAAATCTACGGAGTTGTTGGAATGGCTGGATGGCTTCTAGTACCTAGAGTAGCCATTCGAATAGCCATTGGAGTAGCCGTTGGAGCCCTTGTAGGGAACGGAGTGTATACTTCTGGAACAGAGATTTTCGAAAACGGAAGGTGAGGATTGCGTGTTCATTTGGGAAAAAAAAAAATTTTTTTTTACTTTTTTTTAAACATTCCTTTTTTAAAAACCTTTTTTAGAAACCTTTTTTAAAAACCTTTTTTTAAAAACATTTTAAAAAATCATTTTTACAAAAACCTTCTTTAAAAATCTTTTTTTAAATATTCTTTTTTTGTAAAAAAAACATTCCTCTTTTAAAAACGTTCTTTTTAAAAAATATTCTGTTTAAAAAAAATTTTTTTTAAAATAAAAAAAAAAAATTGTGAGAGTGCGTGTTAGTAGTAAAAACAAAAATAGGGCATGCTTGGGAGGGATGTTGGTGGAATCGAGGTGGCGGTTTTTTTTTTTGCAAATTCGATTCGTTTTTTCGACTTTTGTTTTCTTTGATATTTTTTTTTTTTTTTTTTTTTTTTGCGGGAAAATTAGGGAGATCAGAGAAGAGTGCATTTTTTTGTGCGTGAAGGCAGGAGGTTTCAGAGCTCCCGCTCACCGCCACCCACATCTACAACAGAACAGAAAACAAGACCACCGCCATTACACATACAAGGTATCTATTAGTAACCACCATTAGAGATTTAATTCTTTAATTTTTTTTTTTTTTTTGCCTTTCTCTCTTTCTCTCTATAGTTTCGAATTTGAAAAAAAAAAATATTTACCTGGAACAGCGAAATTTTTCACTAGAATAGCAAAAGTTTTCTATAATTGTTTAAATCTTTTTCTATTCTAGTAAAACTTTTCGCTGCTCTAGATGAAATTTTTTTTTTATTTTTCCCGTATTTTTAAATATAATAGAAAAGTGATAAATTCCCGCAAAAAATATTCTTAATTGCATTGTTGAAAAAATGATTTTTAATTTTAAAGCACTGAAAACAAAATTTACCTGGAACAGCGAAAACTTTCACTATATAATAGCAAAAGTTTTAATTGATTCAGTTAAATCTTTCGCAATTCTAGTAAAATCTTTCGCTGTTCCAGGTAAATTTTTTTTGCCGTGAGGAATATTTTTTTTTTTTACGGAACTGAAGTAATAATTCAATTGATCTCTTTTTATTACCCACTTGGAAGGATTCCCCGGAAAGTGCCCCCTGGAGGTTCTATCAGAATTCCGCCGGAACTTCCACCATATTTCCGTCGGAATTCCATCGGAGTTCCAAAGAATTTCCGATGGGATTCCAACGGAGTTCTGATGGAATTCCGATTCATTTTTTTTCAAAATTTTTAGAGTCCTAATTCCGTCGGAATTCCGTCGGAATCCCATCGGAAATTCTTTGGAACTCCGATGGAATTCCGACGGAATTACGTTGAAAGTTCCGGCGGAATTCTGATAGAACCTCCAGGTGACACTTTCCGGGAAATCTTTCCAAGTGGATAATCCCGAATAAAAATTTAAAAAATAGAAAACTAATTAAGAAAATCAAAAAAAAATTTTTAATTAATATTTAAAGATTTTTAATATTTGAAAACAAAAAAGTCTTGTGTTTGGATATTTTGGATATCCATTTTGGAATAGACATTTTTTTTGTATGCGTAAAATATATATATATACGAGATGAAATTCGAAACTGTGTTTGAAAGTGAAATGAACATTGGTTCGTGAAGGTTCGCGCTACTCAAAGGAAAGGATTCTCACAAAGTCTTAAATGTAGTCATGTTATGAAGTTCCCATGCTGATCATTCCAGAAGAGACCGTTATTTTCCATTAAGAAGTAATTAATTGTGCAATGTTCGTGCATGTGCAATTCATTCTCAATATGTATAATTCTTCGATTGGTAGGCGTGCGAATCCATATATACACTCTTCTCTATTTATACATATATATATTACAAAAAAAAAAATAATCATTTAATGTCATCGAACGGAAAATAATTTTTCAAATTTAAAAAATTTTCCAATGAAACATAATTTAATAATTTTTTAATTATTGAATGAAACATACATATATATATATATAGTGAAGGAATATAAAATCGCAGACCTATATATACCGAAAAAAAAAATTCTTGAAAATAGAGGAAAAATTCTCTTGCAAAAATTCTTCTTAAATCAAGAATATTTTTTTTTCGGTGATAAAATTCACCCTTAATAAGAAAAATAAAAATTTATTATAAGCTCAAAGAACTCACTCGAAAATTGAAGAAGAATTTTTTAATAATTTCCTTCTTTTTTTTCAATTTTTTTGTGGAAAAATTAAATAAATTTTGATAGAATAAAAAAATTAATTAGATTAGTTAATTTACCAGTTCACCTTGAAAAAATTAATGATATCTGATCGTGCACAGTAGGCAATGTGTAAATAGGGACTGGCTTTTTGTATAATAAATTATTTTAAATCAAGACAGGTTTTTTTTTTTTGTATTACAAATTAAACCGAAATTTTTTTATTCAAATCTATTGCATTTTAAGTATTGGAATTTTTTAATTTTCAATTTGATGATTACAAGAGCAATTAAATAATTAAATAAAAAAAAAATACTAATTTAATTTATAACTGAAACGAAATTATTTTATATATTTACAAATTTACTGTATATATAGAAAATCAAAATAGAGAAAATACATATACATAGAGAAAATAATAATTTGTTTTCAAAAAAATTTTTTTGAGAAATGAATTGATGAAGAAAAGAACAAAACTCGTGTTCTGAATTTCGAAAGAATAAGAAAGACTAGTTAAAAGATGGTATCGAATGAAAAAAAAGTGATGGATGACGGCGAGAAGTTTCGAAGTTTACACGAATGAAAAAAAAAAAAAAAAAAAAAAGATGTTTTAGACTGGACAGTGTCAGCTTTCCTCTCTATTTAAATTTTTGGGACCGCGGCTAGCCTTTATGTTACTTTTGTCGACAGGAAATAATTCTTCACAATGCAGAAGAGCTAATTTCAATTTACAAACAAAAAGAACTGAAATTTTTTTTTCTTTTTTTTTTTAATTAAAAAAAAAGAGAATAAAGTTGTTTAACCGGTTTACACACACATATATATATACAGTGGTCTATCGATCTTGCGTCTTTTTTTTTTAAATTAATCAATTGTCATTGCAAACGGGAGTTTGATGTGTGTGTGTGTCGAAATTAATTTTACCATATTATTTTTTTTCACTTTCAATTTTCGTGTGAGTTCTATTTTATATATATATTTTTTTAATCCAGAAAAAAATATTATAAATTTTTGAGAAAATTGAAAAAAGTTTTGAAAATTGAGATTGGAAAATATAATAAAAAATTGAAATTCCAGTGGAATTATAAATTATTATTCACTAACTTGAAGGTTCAAGCATTGATATTTTAATTATAGTTTATAAAAAAAAACTCTCTTTGTTCTGAAGTGAAATTAATCATGAATGAAAAGTGAATCATTGCTGGAAGTGTTCATCACTCACAACGAACATCATTAAATATATATATTATGAAAAAAGAGAGTTAGATCCTAGTGTGAAATAATATATTACTGCAAACAATAAAATAATTTTTTTTTTCTCTCTCTCTGGATAAAAAATATACAGCAATCTATTTTGCACAAATTTTTCTAATATCAAAGGGGAAGTGATTTATTTAAAAATGAAAAAAAAAGTTAAATTCAACTACAGTGGATAAATTTTATAATTACATCCCTGAATATTGTTCAACATATATGCAAAAAAAAATATTTACTTTTAGTAAAAGTAAAAATAAATAAATATATTATTTTAGAAAGTGAAACCTATAAACTGCGTCTCAAAACTTTTTATATCTCTGGCAAATTTTACTTTGAAAATATTAGAACAAGTTACTCTTAGAATAGTAAAATTTACTCTGAAAATATAGTAGTTTTTACTATATTAATATATAGCAAAAATTCCCGATAGCTTATAGAATTTACAAGTATAGTAAAAATTATTTTACTTTTTTATTTTTCTCCGGGTAAATTTTACTAATTCGTTATAGTAAAAAAAAATTTTTCTTTTTACTATCAGTTAAATTTTACTAATTCAAAAGCAAAAATTCAAATTAGTTAAGTTTTACTAATTCAAAAGCAAAAATTCAAATTAGTTAAGTTTTACTAATTCAAAAGCAAAAATTCAAATTAGTTAAGTTTTACTAATTCAAAAGCAAAAATTCAAATTAGTTAAAATTTTTACTAATTCAAAAGCAAAAATTCAAATTAGGTAAAATTTTTACTAATTCCAAAGCCAAAATTCAAATTAGGTAAAATTTTTACTAATTCATAAGCAAAAATTCAAATTAGTTAAAAATTTTACTAATTCCAAAGCCAAAATTCAAATTAGGTAAATTTTTTACTAATTCAAAACCAAAAAATTCAAATTAGGTAAATTTTTTACTAATTCAAAAGCAAAAATTCAAATTAGTTAAAATTTTTACTAATTCAAACTCTCTAATTCTGAATTAGTAAAAATGTTTACTAATTTGAATTAGTGACTCATTTTTTGCTTCTGAATTGGTAAAATTTTACTAACAATTAGTAAAATTTAACTAATTCAGAAGCAAAAAGTGAGTCACTAATTCAAATTAGTAAACATTTTCACTAATTCAGAAGCAAAAAGTGAGTCACTAATTCAAATTAGTAAACATTTTCACTAATTCAGATTTAGAGAGAAAGCAAAAATTCAAATTAGTTAAAATTTTTACTATCGAATTAGTAAAATTTGATCAATTTAAAAGCAAAAATTGATTCACTAATTCAAATTAGTTAAAAAAAATTTACTAATTCAAATTAAGAGATTGCAATCGATAAAATCATTGAATTATATTCATTGGGCATATATTTATCCATTGTATATATACCAAGTTTTCCCAAAGCCACCATTATTATTATTATTAGCGAAGCATGCGACGGCACTCAAAAACATTTTGCGGTATTAAAAAGCAAAAAAAAAAAATTTTTTTTAAAATGGAAAATTGTTTTTTTTTTTGCCGCCGCAAGTGCTCCTGAAAAATGCGGAAAGCTCGCATATCTTGATTGAAGAAATGAGTGTGTGTGTGTTTGTCTTGACAGTACCTGTGTTGTTTGAGGTTGTCCTGTCGCTTGAAGGACTTGCCGCAGACCTCGCAGGTGAAGGTCACGTCGTCCTTGTGACTGCGTTCGTGGATCATCAGGTTATAGGGCTTGGTGAAACGTCGCTGGCAATACTTGCAAACGAACTCGACGGTGCACTTGGCTCGCATCTTCTGCCGCCGGCCGAACTCCCTGCCGTGCCCCTCTGTCTCCATTGGCATTATCGCGAACATCCTTATAAATTCCCACCGCTCCCTCGTTGAGACTATATACTCTGTTTCTCTCTCTCTTTCTCTCTATCGCTTCAAGTCTCTCCCTCTTTTCTTCAGTGGCCTCGCAGTCTCTCTTTTGGGCAAAACTCTCTCTCTCTCTCTTTCTTTCTCTCTTTTTTTTTTTTCTTTCTTTTTGGCCCCTAGTCAGTCCTCTCTCTCTCTCTCTCCTCCCTCGCTTCTTGTCACGCTGACTGGTTGGCTGCTGGCTCCCGGGAGTGAGATCACACTGACTTGGTATTGCCAACGATGGATCGCACTTTGATCACACACACGGCAAGCTACCTGTGGACAAGATCAAATTGGCTATATGTTTTATGGGTGTTTGTGGAGATCGATTAATATATATATATATATGTGGACAATAGGGGGCCTACTAGTGAAGATCCTAATGGCACAAAAATCTACTTAATTTTTGGCAAAAATTATTTTTTTTCAAATATTTCTTGGTTAAAATTAATTTTACTTAAGTCTGTTTTTATAAAACCAGTACGGAAAGTAAGATTTTACTCACTGTGAAAAAAGTACGATTATACTTTGCGTACTGTTACAAAAAGTCATTTTTAATAACACTTTAGCATTAAGTTTCTTTTTTCGAAACAGTGCGGAAAGTAAGATATTACGCACTATGAAACAGTGTAAAAAGTGAGTACTTTGTGTACTGTTTAGAAAAGAAATAACAGCGTAAAAGACGGAGAATAAATGAAATAAAAAAATACGAGCAAATGCGAAAAGCAAGTACTTTGCGTACTGTTGCAAAGGGATTAATTTTAATTTTCAAACTAAATTTAATTGTTCCACATGGAAAAGCGCAGATACTTTGCGCATATTGTTGCAAAAAGAATATTATCTTTAAATTTGAAATTATATTTTAATTATTCCACGTGGAAAAGCAGGTACTTTGCACACTGTTGCAAAAAGTGTTATACTTTAGATTGAACTGCATTTAATTGTTCCCCATATATGGGAAAATCAGGTATATACGAGCAAAAAGTATAGTTGCGGAAAGTATAGATTTTACGCACTCTCACAGAAAATTAAATGCCATTAAAATAAGCTGCAACGCTTATTATTTTAATCCATTTTGGTATTAAAATAAGCAAAATTGGATTAAAATAATAAGCGTTGCAGCTTATTTTAATGCCTTTTAATTTTCTGTGCTGTCGTTTAAGAGAACAGTGGAAAAAGTGAGTACTTTGCGCACTGTTGCAAGAAAAGTCCCTTTAGTTTCAATTAAATTTAATTGAAAATGAAAAAAAATTGAACATGAAAAAAATAGGTACTTTGCGCACTGTTGCAAAAAAAGTCACTTTATAATTTGAACTAAATTTAATGGAAATGCAGGTACTTTGCGCACAGCTGCATAAGAAAAATTTCCATCATTTATATAGTGCACTAGGTACCCCAAAATTTTTCTTACACTATAAGCGGAAAATTTAACTTTACACACTGCTAAAAATAAGTCAATTTTTTCACTCCATTTAGCGTGTGTAAAATTGAACTTTCCACACTGATTCAAAATTAAACTATTAATGTATAAATTACTGCTGTAGTATAATTGATAATTGTTAATTACTAAATATAAAATAGAAAAAAAATTTTTTTTTTTATTATTTGTGAAATAAATAAATCACAAATTCAATACAATAATTCATATCGTATTTAACTATAAATACTAAAAAAAAAACTTTGTTTGCGGTTGTATTTTATACACAACATTGTGGTTTTAACTTTTCATATTTATTTATGACAAAAAGTTCATTTTTTTAAATATATATTTGACAGTATCTTAAACCAAAGACACTATAAACAAAGTCATACTATTTTCATATATATTAAATATTTCACGTATTGTAAAATATTATTTATATATTTTTTATTTTCAAATTTATTTTTAAGTTTTTTTTTTGTTTAAATCATTTATGGTACAGTTTTGCTATTTAGCAACTTTTAATAATTATTAAAGAAAAAACTTAGTCTCATTTTTGTTGCATCTCAAAATGAGCCAATGCTAAACGACATAGACAGTGGCGCCACCAACCTGGCTCATTTTGAGGCCAAGTTTTTTCTGTGTATAGAATTTGAATTTCTTAGAAAATATCTAAAAATCGAAAATAACGATTAGATAATTAAAAGCGCTATATATTTTCGCACATATAATAATATCTGTTAAGTTCATAAATTACAAATGTGAGGTCAACATGTGTACCGCGTACAAGTTTATGCTTATGAAACAGTAGAGATTATTATCATAATTCATATCATTGTAATGTATTCGTTTAAGTACTGTAGAGTAATAAATTTCTTTAATTAGAATATGAGGAATTTAACCAGACTTTCAGCGGACTGATGTCTGCTAAAAATTTGCAGATTTTCTGCGAACTGTAATTATTTAATTTCATTTTTATCCTTTAATTTCCGCTTTCACTACTCCATTTTCACTTCCATACCATTCCACTATATAGCTTCATTATTCCAGTTCTATAATTTCACTTTCATCATTTTACTTCCACTACCAAATTCATCATTCCACTTTCACTTTTATAATTCTACTTCCACTTTCATCATTTGACTTTTATAATTCTATTTCCACTTCCAACATTCCACTTTCGTAAAAATCGAACAGTGGAAGTGGAATGGTTAAAGTGGAAGTGAAAAATGGTAAAAGTGAAAGTGGAAATGAAATTACATATAATCGACCCCCTGATGTCTAAAAAAAAATCTTAAGAATTTTGTTTCGGTTTGAAAATATTCTCGTATATAATATCGAGATATGATTTTTTTTTTTCTTTGAAGAGAGCATGAAAAAGAGAGAGAGGCGAAGAATTTGAAAATTTTGGAATACCATTATAACGTGGCAGTATTAAAAATATCATATATATATATACATATAAGAAGCGCAAAATGTGGGTTGTCCGAGTGCGTGGATGAGAACACGCGCGGAGTAATAAAAAAGGCCCCTGGGGTCGATCGCGCGGCCATTGTGCCACGAACTATAAGAGTTGAGTTGCTACCGTCGGGTGTAAGCGCATACTCGAATAAAGTGGCGTGTCCGAATGAGTAATAAGCGTGCCGGGGCGTAGCCCGGTTGGTTAGCAAGCCTGACGGCGGTGGGGTCTAATTGGGCACCCGTGTTACGCACGCTCCTGCACTTCTCCTTCTCTCTCTCTCTCTCTTTCTCTCTTCTCTATTTTCCACCTCTCCCCCCCCCCTCACCTTTGCCTTTCATTTCCTCTCAAATTAACCTTTCTCTCACCTCGATTCTTCCCCCACTTTTCATTAATTACCATTTTTTTTTCTATTTTCCCGCGTTCATCATCAACTTTTTTTTCCACTTTCATTTTTTCTTCCTTAAATCTATTTTTTTTTGTAACCTTTTTTTTCAGAGAAATTTATAAAAATGATTTTTGAAAAATTGCTTTTCAAATTTGGCGGTATTTTAGTGAGGTTATTTTTTTTTATCGCGGTAAATGGCGCTGCTGTATTCTGATTCTATACATAACCTTTCTAAATTGATAATTACATTTTTTCTCAGTAAATAAATGGAGAATTTTACTTTTATTTATGATTATTTGAGTATAATTTATAATATTTATTGATCGCAAAGCGCAAATGTTATACAGATTGTTATAAAAATTGATCAGTCGGACACGTTTGGTTATTAGAATTTAATCCGGGGATTCACAATTTAATCAAAGTTGGTAAAACTGCGTCGCACAAGTTGGTATTTATAACTAACGTGCGGGAATATATGAAAAACTATCTAAATATGTGAATTGGTAAAAATTTTAACTATAATTTGACTTAATTTTTGCTATTGAATTAGTAAAATTTGAATAATTGGTAGTGAAAAATAATTTTTTACTATCAAATTTAAATTTAAATAGTAAAAAAAAACTATTAAATTAGTAAAATTTAACTATATATAATTCAAAAGCAAAAAGTGCGTTTTTTTGTTTGTTAATTTTATAACTGCGTGTATATACTTTAATTCAAGAATCTATATAGTTACAATATATATATATATACACGTAATGGAAGGTCAACAACAAAAACTTGATGACTATCAATCAAAAGAAATTACAGATAAAAAAAAAATTATTACCAGCTTCTTTATATCTATTAATTACAATCCTTGTATCATGTTTATTAGCAACAGATTTATGCACATGACCTATGATTATATATATTTTCAATATATGCAAAGATTTTCTCTACGTTCTTGACATTGTGATTCTCACTTGAGAACAAAGTTATATATATATATATATTTATTTATTGCGCAACAAAAGATATATATATATATATATATATATATATGCTATGAAAAAAATAAGATATCGAACAAAGAAATTCGATTATTCCCTATATACTTCAATTTTACTAATTCGTTAATAAAAAAAAAAAAATTTTTTATCTATAAAACAGCTATATATGTTTCTCTAGAACAGCGAAAATTTTAGCTGCTTTAGTATAAAATATATCGCTGGTTCCAGTAAAACTTATTTCAATTCCAGGTGATGATTTTGTTTTAGGATTTCGTGGTTCAGGCCCGTCCGTCGTCATGACAACCGTTACCATGACAACCGTTACCATGACAACCGTTACCATAGCAACCGTTTCCATGGCCTTTTCTTTCCATAGCAACGGTAATAAGTATTACAGTAATATTAATTAAATTTTACTAATTCAAAAGCAAAAACTAAGCTAATTCTTAATTAAAATTTTTACTAATTCAAATTAATTATAAAATTTTTACTAATTCATAGAGAGTACTTTACTAACTTTCCAAACAAATATTACAATCTCCCAAAATGAAAAAAAAAAAATTAAAAAGATTTCTAAAAACAATGTGTTTTAAATTTGAAAAATAAGGGAAAAAAAAATTTTTTCCGACGGATAGAAGAAGAATTTTTCTTCTTTCTTCATTTTGTTATTGCGAAACGAACCAATAAACCGAGAGCATATTTGGCGAATTGTGTGCGAGTTCTTTGGAACATACATATATATATATATATATATAGGTATCTATATATATGAATAAGACGGATAAGGAAGGGAGCAGCCAACCAAAGAACAGCTACTGTGCGTGCACCGCTTCACGGATAAGAACTAAGAAGGGAAACACTTCCTGTTGGCGGTCGCTCTTAGCCAACCAAAAGTGAGTAGCTGGCTACTGTGCACCGCCCTGTGTGTGCTAAAATCCCAGCTACCGGTTTTTAGACCAGTCGCGGCTACCGACTTTCCTTTGGGGCCTGAACCACATATTCTCCCCTCCCCCCACCACCACCACCACCAACCCCTCTCATGTTTCTCGTTTGATTCTGATTCCCAAACTGTAAAAGGGCCTCCGGACCCTTTTATTATTTTTTATATCAAACCCAAAATGGTGGTTCCTTTCTATAAAAACTTCTGCTTTTAGAGTCTTTTTTTTAAAAATATTTTATCATTGTTTTTCTAATTTAACTATAAAAATTATTTAATTAATTTTCTAATTTAAGTATAAAAATTATTTAATTAATTTATATTATATTACTTTTCTGCATGGAATTAATTATCGAGAAAACATATTTGTAATATAAATATTATAATATATAAATATTATTATTTATTATTAATATTTATCAGGGGAAAAAATTATTATTTAATAAAGGGATATACGTTTCTTTAGAATAGTGAAAACATTCGCTGTTTTAGTGAAACATATATGTCTCTCTTTCATAATGAAATTTAAGGTGAACATTTTTTTCTTTGTATAAATATATTATATATATATTTAAAAGTATATCAAATTGATACTTTTAAATTAGTGTGATATAAAAGTATTCATATAATAAAAATATTTATAAAATATTTATATAATATTTTTTATTATATAATTATAATAGAATATTAGAATTTAAAATGAATAATATAAAATATGTTTACTAAGTCTAAGTCCGCTGATTTTCAGCGGAATGCTAAAAATTTCGCTGAGGGTTTGGTGGAACATCCATATTTTTTTTTGTACTACCAAACTTTATATCGAGCTTTTAGCATATAGCTGAATTTTTACTGATTTATGATTTAAAATACTGGATATTGTATTTACATAAGTTTTCAAAAGGGAAATTCTATTTTTATTCGTCACAATTTAGTCCTTAATAATAAAAAATTAAGTTATTATTCAATATTGTATTTTTATAATCGTACAATTATAAATAAAATAATTATAATTGTACAATTATGATTAAATTGCATTATTAAATCCTTCATATCCCAATGGTAATTAAATTTCCATAAAAATAATTCGATTTTTAATTAATCGAATATATAATTTATTTACTAATAACTACTTAATTTTCACTAAAGAAATTATATATTCCTAAATTATCCCCTTTTTAAAAAAAAACTTCCCTTATTTATTCGCAGTTTTTTTTTGGAAATTAAATATCCCAATAAAATAATTAAATTATAAATATATATACAACTTACGAATAATTGGAATGATGAAGAAACACTTTTGATGAATTTTGACAAAACTGATAGAATCACACGAATTTGTATTTAATTAAAAAAAAAAATGTTTTCCGATGAATTAATCCAATTAATTCGAAGCACGGTTTTTTTTTTTTTTGGAAGCTGCGTGAAGCCAAAAGGCCTGACAGGTCTGGACCGTTTGGGTGCGCGGCGTCGACTGAAACCGTCCGGTTGGTTGGTACTTGGTAGCCCGAATAGTAGACCGAAGACGGTAGGTCGTAGTGTAGCGCTAAAGGTCTTCGCTTCTTCTGGTTGGAGGACCGGGACCTCCCTACCGAACTCGGGCCTGGTGGTTCTTCTGTTCAACCTTCCGCGCAGCGCGATGCCGTTTTGAAGCTGCTGGATGATAGTAGTAGTAGTAGTAGTAGTAGTGGTAGTAAAAGAAAGAGAAGAAGAAGTAGTAGCGGTTTTTATCCCGACCCAATGGAGTGTGTTTCTGTCCTTGTCTCACCGGTCGCCGAATAGCAGCGCGGTTACTCACAAATCCTTCGAGACGCAGCTTCTTGAGCTCCCGCTTATAGGGCCCCGCAGTCAAAGGATGGGAGCGGGGTCCAATTCCCCCTCCTCTCTTTCCCTCTTCCCCTCTCTCTCTCTCTCTCTCTCTCTCTCTCTCTCTCTCTCTCTCTCTCTCTCTCTCTCTCTCTCTCTCTCTCTCTCTCTCTCTCTTCTTTTCTCTCCGTCCCTCCAATGTCTATCCCCACTTTGAAAAACTTAAGGACCGCCCTCATGAGACAAGAGAATCATCCCTCTTTTCCTCTATAAGCTGCGAAGAAATGATGATTATGATGATGATGATGATGATGATGATTGTATGTGCGGCTTCAATATCACGATCAGAAGAAGGTACTCCTACCCCCCCTCGGGGGCGGTAGCCTCCACTACTTTCAAGCGACGAGTTAAAACTTTGCTGCGTAGGTAGCACCTCATCCAAAAGGGCCACCAGTCTTCTTTTAAACCCTAACCATAATCTCTCTCTCTTCTATAATTAAGAAACTCGGTCAAATTTTACAATCCTTTTTCCGAAAAGAATTTATATGAAAAATTATTATTATCGAAGTCTGATGGAATGAGGATTTTTATTGAGAAAATCAGAATTTATCACAGAAAAATAAAAGGTATTAAAATAAGTTGCAACGCTGATTATTTTAATCTAATTTTGCTTATTTTAATACCAAAATGGATTAAAATAAGCAAAATTGGATTAAAATAATAAGCGTTGCAGCTTATTTTAATGCCTTTTAATTTTCTGTGATATCAAGATGAATGCATATGCAATATTTATATGCGGGATGATTAAAATTCCATTGGAAATGTAAGAATTTATTGCAAATAAAAAAAGTTTCATGTTGCTAATTATTGGCGAAATTTAGTTTTAAAGAAACATTCAAAATCTGTACTCTGGATCGTTTAAATCCAACACAGAAAATTATAAGGTATTAAATTAAGCTATGCAACGCTTATTGTTTTAATCCAATTTTGCTTATTTTAATACCAAAATGGATTAAAATAAGCAAAATTGGATTAAAATAATAAGCGTTGCCAGATTATTTTAATGCCTTTTAATTTTCTGTGAAGAATTTCTTTCTGCTACCAAATAGATTTCTAATTCTAAATCTAATTATCTAATTCAGTTTTTAAAATAGATGAATTAGAGCTACTTTTAAATCCAATTCTTAACTGGAATCAAAACTATTTTCTTTTTAATTTCAAAATTGTTTGAGTAGAATTTGGATTTGACTTTCGAAATCCAAGGATTTTCTAGGCTATACTATTAAGCTTTTCAAAATTTATAATTCTAAAATCTGTGTTAAATTAAAAAAAAAATAATTTCCTACCATCAAACAGTTTTACACTCTCAAATTCCTTAATTCCAACTTTGAAAATCTGAAAATCATAACCCCTTTTATAAATTGGAGAAGATCTTCTAAATCCATACAAGTTTTCTCTGATTATAATTCCAAACATTTTTATTATTCTTCAATTCCAAATTTCTATTTACATTCTAAATCCAAGGGGTTTAGGCTACTATCAATTTGCAGCTTTGATGCAAAATTTTGACTTTTAAAATCTGTATTAGTCTTTGAATCCAAAAATATTTCCTGCACAGAAAATTAAAAGGCATTAAATCCAATTTTACTTATTTTAATCCATTTTGGTATTAAAATTAGCAAAATTGGATTAAAATAATAAGCGTTGCAGCTTATTTTAATGCCTTTTAATTTTCTGTGTGCTCCTACTATTATATCATCTTGATTTGATCTTCTAAATCCAAGGATTTCATGATTGTTCTCCAACATTTTTCCCTCTAATTCCTAATTTATATCTGGAATTTGGATTCCATTTTCTAAATCCAAGAAATTTTATACCATCAATCATCAAAAATATTCACCTAAATTCTAAATCTCAAGCCTTCACAGAAAATTATATAAGGTATTAAAATAAGCTGCAACGCTTATTATTTTCATCCAATTTTGCTATATTTTAATACCAAAATGGATTAAAATAAGCAAAATTGGATTAAAATAATAAGCGTTGCAGCTTATTTTAATGCCTTTTAATTTTCTGGTGTTATGAACTACAAAATAAGATATATATGTATAAATACTACACTGATTCCTTGTATCGAGTCATAAAAGTCTACCAACACGAATCCAGGATAAAATTTGATCAAGGTATTCTAAAACTATTTGGGATTCGCAAGTTTTATAATCGTCACTTGTTTATACATTCATAATTTTTTCTTACTAAGTCTTAACGCTACTGGTTTACGTAATTTCTACTTCTAAATATATACAAAACTTTATAGATTCTCCTAAAATTCATCGCCGAATTCGCATTCCTCAATTACTAGGACTGAATTGATAATTTTCAAATTTCATTTTTCTCCGTATATATTAGAGAATATTCCAAATAATCAAAATCATCAACTGTTCTTAATGTACCTATATATAAATAATCCGAAGCATTCCAATCCTACCCACGTTATAAATATATAACGTATACGAGTGATTCACCATTCCTCGCAAATTCCACAAATGATGGAATGAGATTTTCCTTTTTCCGCGCGCACGTGAAGAAGAATTCAGTAGCTGAGTTTGAGGAAGCTCATGGAAGATACGCTCTTCATTCAACAAAGCGTGAGTAGCCTAGCGGCATCTTCGTCTCTTGTATATTTTTTGTCATTTTCTTTCTCACGATTCCTCACTCCCTCTCTTTCTCTCCCTCAAAAGAGAAAGAGAGAGAGAGAGAGAGAGAAAGAAACAGAGAGAGAGAGAGAGAGAGAGGACCCCTCTTTTAATGGGAGAGAAAGAGAGATGAAAAAGAGAAAGAGCTGAGATCGAATAGACATTGAAGATAAAAAGAGAAGGCGTCGAGAGCTGAAGAAAGTGAGATAGAGTGAGAAGAGAGCGAAGAGCCTGGGTATAGAGAAGGGAAGTGCGGGGGCTGCCTTACTGCCGCAAGGGTTCCCAGGGCACGTGGGAAATGAACAGTAGTCACTGTCAGATTCCCCTCCTCCTTCCCCTTGCACACACCCTCCCACTTATCGCGGGTCCAGCACCGCAATCTCCCTACTCCTCATCTCACGCTGAAGAGAGATTCTCTTCGTGAACCATCTCGTTCAGGAGGGTTTTGGCTCCGCCTTTTAAAAGATCTTCAACTAAGCTGATTGGATGCACCATTCACGTGGATGATCGCCTCCTTTTGTATATAAGATGAGAGAAAGAATTTCAAAGAGGAATTTCATTCCCTTGTGAAAGAAAAAGAAGAAAATAAAAAGAAAGAGAGAGAGAGAGATCTCTTCCCTTTAAGACAAATTCCTCTGGTGAGAGGGTTGCTTTTTAGAAAAGAAGAAGGATTTTCTATATATATATATATGTATATATATATATAGTCTTGGAATTTCTTCTTAATGATGATCAAGCATAAGAAGAGGACGATGATGATGATGATAGTGAGTATATAAGAATATAAAGAAGGAGGTTGGTCAAAATCGTGGGGATGATGACGATGAATATAACTGAGCGTGGGTTGCGCAACCAATAGTAAAGAATCCGCCATATTGCTCGTAAGACCTACGCCTTCGAACCACCCCCGCCAAACTTGAGACGTGACCACAGTATTTCGCATAATGAACCAAAAGAGAGAGAGAGAGAGAGAGAGAGAGAGAGAGAGAGAAAGAGTGAATCGTATGGGAATCACGAGGAGCTTCAGAGAACGTTTAAGGTTCACATCTTCGTGATTTGCCCTGGGCGCGTATACGACTTTTATATGCATATATATATATATATACTGCTTTGCTTTGCTTCTGTCGCGCTTTCTTCTTTTTGTGATTCACATAGAATATATAGAGAAGAGAAAGGATTTTATTCCCTCATCGAGGGAACGAAATTGATGAAAATCCGATTAAAATCGTTTGTGATTGAAAATTTTTTCGATAATGAAAATTCGGCACGATTCAAATACAGATTTAAATTCTATCCTGTTACTATGGTAACGGTTGTTATGGTAACAATTGCCATCGAAACGGTTGTTATGGTAACAGTTGTCATGGAAAGGGTTTTGCTAACACAGAAAATTATAAGGTATTAAAATAAGCTGCAACGCTTATTATTTTAATCCAATTTTGCTTATTTTAATCAATTTTGGTATTAAAATTGGTATTAAAATAAGCAAAATTGGATTAAAATAATAAGCATTGCAGCTTATTTTAATGCCTTTTAATTTTCTGTGATGATAACAGTTGTCCCATGGAAACGGTTGCTCTATGGTAACAGTTGTTTATTTAAGTAGAGTGTAGAGTTTAACTTAACTGTGTAGAATTTAACTAAATCAATTTTGTTTATTATATAAGCGTGTGTAGAGTTTAATAGTGCAGAATTTAACAAAACTACTAATAAAATTAAGAGAGTTTTAAAATTGCGTATATGTAACTATGTGTAGAGTTTTATGAAAATAATTTTCATTTTTTTAAAAATAAATTTATAATTTCCTTATTATTTAATAAATGTGATGGTAGAATTTACTCTCTAAATCTGAATTAGTAAAAATGTTTACTAATATTTAAATTAGTGACTCACTTTTTGCTTTAGTATTATTAGTATTAGTATTATTAGTATTAGTATTAGTAACCTTTACTATAGTAAAGGTTACTAATAATTAGTAAAATTTTACTAATTGAGAAGCAAAAAGTGAGTAACTAATTCAAATTAGTAAACTTTTTTACGAATTCAAATTTAGAGAGTAATTTTGTTGACACGCATATAAATTTAACATCGCAGTTTACGTTAGTTTTAATGATGTAGAGTTTAAATTTGCAGTATTTATGCGAGGGTCTGTTTTAATAATAGAAAATTAATTTTGCTAAAAATTCTACATATATATAGTTAAATTGCAGACCGTAAAACTCTACACACAGATTTATTTAAGTAGAATGTAGAGTTTAACATACTGCGTGTATAGAATTCAA